TATGGCCAGTGGCCGGGTGGTGGGGTGGGGGCAGGGGCTGAGTATGGAGGACGGGTGGAGCGTTGGCGGCCACCACGGCCCCGAGAGCGGTTGTGCCGAGGTTCCGGGCGGGGGTGAAGAGACTGGGGACGAGGGGGTGAGTGAGGGGGGGTTACGGTCCGTGTGCACCATGGCGGCAACGAGTGGGTTACCGGCTTGTTGGTTCTTACGAGCCTCTTCGAGAGACAACATGGACCGGGCCTTGGAGAAAAGTGGGAGAGGATCGGTTTGTTGGATGAGGGAAGCCACGGTGTCAAAATGTTCCGGCAGTCCGTTAACAAGGCGAAGGACAAGGCGACTATTGGTGACCAGAGCGCCGATGTTGCTTAGTTGGTCGGCCAGGAGCTTGAGGGCTTTGCAGTAGGAGGCAATGTTGGGGAATTGATCAAGACGGGTATTGGAAAACTGATTTTCCAAGTACACCGCCCTAGAGCGTTTGTTGTCCTGGAAGATGTCCGCAAGGTGTGACCAAGCCATGTGAGCTGTGGAGTCGGGCTCGATGATGGTGTGGAGGAGGTCGTGAGAAATTGTGCCGTAGATCCATTGTAGGACGACGGCATCAAGGCGGTCCCAAAGGGCCTTAGCTTCGGCGGCGGCAGCTTCAAGTTCCAGCCGTTGTTCGAGTGTAGTAGCGGCGTGAGAAGGGGAGTCGGTCGCAAGAGCGGCGGGCAGTAGGTGGTCGAGGACTTGATAGTCCCGGGCGGTAATACGGAAGAGTTCTGCCCATGAAGAATATTCCACGGTTTCAAGATCGAGGGTTATGGGGATGAAGTTTTTAATATTGGAGACGGCCAAGGCGGGGTGAAATTTGGAGGAGGAAGCCATGGCCGGAAGAAGAGAGCTGTTGATACCTAAATGAATCTAGCCACTAATTGAATATACTATCCATAATTACCTAAATGAATCTAGCCACTAATTGAACCAAATACAATATACAAGAAATATGGTAAGAATCGGCTAGAGTGTAACGGCTGAAATGCCGTTTGGCTAATTAATAGTAACGATCCGGGTACGGGTTCAGTAATATATTGGATCGGACCGGACCGCGCCCACCCCTAACTACAACGAAATGTGTAGAAAGGAGTAGATTGATTTGTGTCGTAGCTTAATTGGATAAGAAAGTTAACCAAGAACGCTGGATCGACGAGTAAGATCGTAAAAATGCTAAATCGACAATCTCTTGGTTCGCAAACGAATGTCGGCCTTAGAGAAAAGTTATCATGAGGCGGTGACCTACGACACCCCAAGCGCCATAACTGGCTGGACGTGTAAGGTTGCAACGGTCAAGCCTGGAGCTTCGAAGCTTTGAATCCTTCTATAGAAAGTTGTCTCCTTGCTCAATCTCTGTCCATAGTCTCAGAAAAACTCTGAATCGAGCCTTCCTTCACATTGTGTTATTGTTGTTGTTGTTGCTATTGTTGTTGTTATTGTTGTTCTTCTTCTTCTTATTATTATTATTATTATTATTATTATTATTATTACTATTATTATTATTACTATTATTATTATTATTATTACTATTATTATTATTATTACTATTATTATTATTGTTATTATTATTATTATTATTAGTATTAGTATTAGTATTATTAGTATTATTATTATTAGTATTATTATTATTATTATTATTATACTATTATTATTATTATTAATATTATTATTATTATTAGTAGTAGTAGTATTAGTATTATTATTATTACTATTATTACTATTATTATAATCATTATTATTATCATCATCATTATTATTATTATTACTATTATTACTATTATTAGTACTATTATTATTATTATTATTATTATTATTACTACTACTATTATTATTATTAGTATTATTACTATTACTATTATTATTGTTATTACTATTAGTATTATTACCATTACTATATTATATACTCCTAATGTCCCATTTTGTTTAGCTAAATTTGACATTTGTAATCAATGATATCTAACTTTGACCAATTATATATCAGTAATGTAAGTATTGATAATATGAAACTAATAAAAAAATGTTATTTGTCAAAAGTAAAATCATAAAAGTGTAAAATTATTCAACTTTACATAAATATATTAAAGAAAAATAATTAGATAAAGTTTATCATATTTGACTGGAAAAGTCAAAGATAGCTAAAAAAGGAACAAAGGTAGTATTATATTATTATTTATTAAATATTAATTGATGGATAAACCAACCTAGGGGTAGGCAAAACCCAGTAAAGAAAGACTGAAAAGTGCTAAGTATAGATTAAGTAGAAAATTTGGCAACGTAACAGTAAGCTGTGCGCAAGAATTCCGGTCCCTTTCCACAAGTTGAAAGATAATTGACGAGCACTTTGTCACGGTGCGTCAAAATAAATTCAATACTAGCACTAATACATAGTATAGGTGAAGTAGAGTTCGTATCCACATGGAAAGGAATAATTCTCTTTTTATGAAACTAGTAAATAAAAGGGAGGTTTTGGGATTGAATGATTTAATTTAAAAACTAAGGTGAACAACATATATGTGTTTTAATTCAAAGATAAAAGCACTTGGCACTACTACTTTCCACTTGTTGATATATTTTAGTCGATCATTGTTATATCTATAACTTATTCCCTCTCGAATACTCAATCGAGGAGTATATCCAATTCTTCGAGAGTAGTTATTAACAATGACGGTTCATTAATAACCCTTACTATTAGTCAATATAGAACACGCGCCATATACCGACTTGATAGTAGCATTTAATCTCTCAACTCCTTGATGAAATCAATTGAGATTGATAACCTCAACACAACGCTTTCGATTTAACCAACAAAATTAATCCCTCTTAAGTTTATCAACCATGACCGTGCATTAATAAACCGAAGTTACTTACTTGTGAAACCATCAACGATTAATCATCGGTTCGTTGATCGTTTCTAGTAATAATTAATATATGAAACAAAACTAGTTGATCCTTTAAGTAATATTCAAAATATTAATATGAAATATGAATAGGAATTAATTAATATTCAAGGAAGAATATTATTAAAGGAGATGAATCCTACTATAATTAATATCAAGATGTTAACTAATTGTCATCTTAGCAACACTCCCCAACATTAATATAGAGGAAGAAAATACTACTCTAACTAATGTCAAGATGTTAACTAATTTTCATCTTAGCAACACTCCACAACATTAATATAGAGATGATATTAAGGAAAGAACTAATAATTAATATTCAAGGGAAGAAGTTAAGAAAATAACTCACAACTTTAATAATCAACAAACTTCAAGAGCAACACCAAGAATGGAAGTTTAGCTCCTCATTTGGAGACTAAACATAGCTAGAAAAATATAAAGAAATGCTATTCTAAACTGAGCTTAAGAGTATGGGAGAAGAGATGATTTTTAGAGAAGAAAAAGTGTGCTATTTATAGGTGTTTTTCAACACCTTTGGCCGGGTACCTGACCGGGTCAAGTACCTACCCGACCGGATCCGGTCAAAATCAAATATCCTTCGCGTTCTGGTGATCTTCGCACGCTGGATTCTCCCCAGTCACTTCTCACCAGATCGGGTGAGGTGGTGGGCCCGACCGGGCCATGCAATTTCTTTGCATTTTCGTTTTTCACTTCTTACTCGACCGGGTATAACACTTGACCCGGTCGGGTATTTGCTCCTGGGCAGCCAAATCTTCTTTTTCTTCACTTCAAAGTCTTCCTTTCCAACACCACAAATCCTAACTAAACTTTACGACTTACAAATAAAGACTAAAATACAATTATAACTAAAATCACACAAATGTTTACAAACTAAGTAAAATAGTAAATAATCCAAATAAATCAAATATAAAAACATACAATTATTAACTACTAATTAGTGTGCTTCAATAATATGTATATTGTAAAGGTAATGTTTTACCAACAAGTAAGAAGTTGCTATTCTAATAAGATGGGGACACGTGTCATACATGGACATGGTGACACGTTTAAAGCTTGATTGACAAGAGAATGGAAGCAGCTGGTCGATTGGTACGGTGCATAATTAATTTGATTCCCTTTGTACTGGATGCACATACCAGACACACGTGGGTGACGTTAGCCCTAGTCAGCTTTCATGTTGATGACGTAGTCGCATCTGTGTGTGGATCTTTGAGTACTGAAAACGTCAAAGTACACAATGTTCTCTGAGGCCATGAGCTCTACGAAGCTGGGCTCGGGGACAGTACCTTTACTTGAGGAGAGGGCGGCTTCAGTTTGCTCGGTTAATGCTCCCTCTTAGTTCTTGGACTCTGTGGAGTGCTCAGTTGACTTCAAACTCAGCCATAGTGTTGACTTTGGCGTTGATGCAAACAGGTTGTGAGCTCGGGCTCGGCTGTAGTTTTGGAGTTATCTCGATTATGTTAGATCTTGTTTGGGAACCGAGCTCGGCGGACGTGGGCTCTGACTTGACTGCACTTTTGGACTTATCTTGGTGATATGGGAACTGATTTATGAACCGACCTCAGTAGGTGCATGCTCGACCTCGGCGGTAGTCTTGTACTTAGTGAATTTAGGAGATTGATTATCCACAAATGTTGATACCCCTAAACAACATACTTTATCATTAATATTGAAATCAGTTATGAACCTCGAGTTACCAAGGTTATTAAACTTAGGATCCTAGCACGGATCGATCCCTTCTGATCGATGTGCTAGGATCCTAAGTTTAATAACCTTGGTAACCATGTTTATAAATAGATACATTCTATAATTTCCCATGATTAAACCAGTGCTTATAATGAAGATGAGGAATTCCTCCACGTGTTTGTCTGGTTAACTATTCATTTAATTTGCTTGATTAACAATGATAATTATGTCGTTTACTCCACAAAGAAAAAAACTACAGCTAAAAAACTTAATAAGAAAATTAAAGAAAAGTTTGCAAATAGTTAAATAATACGGAGTAATATAGTCTATTAGTCTGTAAGACTGTAACAAACAAACAGATGCGGTCATAGAGATTGTAGTGTCAGTCCAAAAATAATCATATTGCTTTGTTTATCCCAGCCTCTATAAGAACCTGAATCAACCGCTTCTCTCAACCCTTCTGTCTTTAGTTTTAATCATATCGGCCATGGCTGCTTATTCTAGCTAGCTTCAGCTTCTAATCTTCTTCTCCTTCCTTTCTTTTCTGACTTGCTTGGACTTTGCAAAACCCAATGCTTGTTTTATAATTCCCATATATAAGAAATCTTGAAACTGCTGTGTGGGGTAAAAAATGGCATTACAAACTGTAATCTACCCTCAAGATACTTTAATTTATGGCTGTAACAGAGAGTTTTACCGAGGCTGCTATGGTTTTACCTCACATCAAGAAGAAGAAGTTGACACCGCCTTTCTCGGGATGCTTGTAGAAGCTGATAATATTCATCTTACTATTTCTACTAGTAATATGGACACCCAAAGTGATGGGCGGCGGCAAGACGGGAATTGGGAACAAAACTCTTCACCGGAGGCGGTGACTAAACAGCCGCCGCCGTTCCCCACCGCCTCCTGCGGCAGGCGGAAGCGCCGCCGGACTCGGTCGTGCAAGAACAAAGAAGAATTGGAGACTCAGAGAATGACTCACATTGCGGTGGAGCGCAACCGCCGCAAGCAGATGAATGAGTACCTCTCTGTAATTCGATCCATCATGCCACCTTCCTACGTCCAAAGGGTAATTAGTCGTTCCATCTAAGTGTCCATTGATTAACTGTTAATTAATTGAAATTGATGAATTGCACTAGTATTTTTTGCCTTTTTGCATTTAATTCATTATGTTTAAAATCGAATTCGAGAATCTCTTTCAATTTTAATAATCTGTCTATTTCTACATGTTGCATGAATGTGACCTAGATGGTGACAAAATCTTTTGTCCATATAGCCATTTTCATGACAAGTAAATTCGATCATGACTTTTAGATTCTTTTCTTTTTTGAAATGGTCAAATAAATTAAAATAAAAAGAAAATTGATTGACAGTTTTAATTTTTAAGGATTAATAAGTGTAAGAATATCCAACGTTGGTTTTACATGTTGGATGTCCGGGTGTGATTAATAATTAATAAGTTTCTGATTAGAGGTTTTCTGAAAAAAATTGTGAAGAAAAATGCAATCAAAATATGATGAATATGATATTATGATCATTAGTTTGTAAAATAAACATAATAATAGATTAATAGTCAATAATTTACTTAATACAATTATTGCGTACTTTTGTATGTTGGGTATGTTTTCTTTTTGTCTAATTTAGTTATATATACTCCTTTTTTTTCCATAAAATTTTCTTAGTTGTATTCTTTTGACTTATCCCAAAAATCGCTGCATTTCCATATTTTAAAAGTTTTAACACACCTTTCCATTTTGTTCTCACTTTATTAAATTTCGATTCAAAATAAAATTAGAAGAATTTTATAGATGTTGGGTATCGAATAATCAAGAATTGAAAATGGCAGGGTGATCAAGCTTCAATTATTGGAGGCGCCATAAATTATGTGAAGGAGCTGGAGCACCATCTTCAAACCCTAGAGGCACGAAACCGACCCAACAGGGAAGGGGGGACTCCACTGTTCGCGGATTTCTTCAGTTTCCCGCAGTATTCCAACAGCCACGGAAGGAAGGGAGGGTCGGCGGCGGGCGAAGTGGAGCCGGCGGAGAACCGGTCGGCGTTGGCGGACATCGAGGTGACGATGGTTGAGAGCCACGCGAGCGTGAAGATACTTTCGAGGAATAGATCCAAACAGCTCCTTAAGCTTGTCGCCCGTCTGCAGTGTATACGGCTCTCTGTTCTTCACCTCAATGTCACCACTGTTGACCAAACGGTCCTCTACTCCCTCAGTCTTAAGGTTTGGTCCTCAAAACGCTTTTTTGCTGCCTATTCTTATTATTTTATTCATTTTTCACATACGTCTAATTACCTATCTGACATATTTCCTCGTTATTGTCACACTACTCACCCCACAAAACATTATCACATTTTATCAGAATTGATTGAAATTAACAAATGAAATTAATTAACATTTACCGTTTAGTGAAATCAGATTTAATTGAATCCGTTGAAATTCATAAATTTTTGACTCAAATTAGCTAGCGAATTAGCTAAATATGTACGTCCCGAAAAGGTTTTTCAAATTGACTTTTCTCGATATTCAATTTTGACCAATGATATTTTTTAATACGAAAATATTTGGAATGTGAAAATTATATCAAAATGTTTCTTATTCAAAACTTTTTCATAAAAATATAAAATTTATAATTATATACAAATATAATAATTAAAATCATTGTTCAAAGTTTGACACCATTGACTAAGAAAGGTCAATATGTCAAACTTTTTTGGGACGGAAGTAGTATAAATTATACGAGTAATTATTAAAGATATATACTCCCTCCGTCACATAAGATTATTGCAATTTGACTTGTCTTGGTGCTTAAGAAAACGAAAATAAAGTGAAAAATGTACTATTGTGGTTGAGTAAAAAAATGTAAATGAATGTTAGCTACACAAAACTTTCTAAAAGGTAAATGAGAAGAATTTTTTATGTAGTCCCCAAAAAGTAAGCGAGAAGATTTTTTATGAGACTGAGAGTATATTTTAATAAATAACATAAATAAATAATTAAATTAAGAAGGCTTAAATGTTCTTGTGCCATAAGCTGAGTTAACTCAGTCACAAAAGTGACTTTAACTTTACTAAACAATTCAATGAGCAAAATTAAACAATTAAATTAAGAAGGCTAAAATGAACTCATAATGTTGATAAGAGGGAAATATGACTCTCCAAATGGCCCCTAAATAAACAGCAATCTTTTGTCAAAAGGTTTGTAAGCAATAGTCATTTTTTGCCAAATTTCAAAAGGGTATCTTATTTGATCATTACTATATTCATTTTTACACAAAACATTTAAATAAGTTATTCATTTTGGCTTGCGTGCTATAGGTGTTATTAAAATTCAATCCTATACTTATACTTTTCTTTTTGGTTTAGACAAAATTTTGCCGTATCTAACTTTATTTTTTTCTTTTCTTATAAAAGTTACACAAAAAATCAGCCTCTTTCCGATAAATATAGATCTCATCTTTTACCCGACAAAGCCTTTTGAAATAATGTTCTTTTTTAGGATTGAGGGACAAATTTATAGTAATTGTCACCTCACACGTTTTGGTATACAATTTTTATTAAAAGTCGTAAAGCTATGTGTACCGAATAAATTAAATCTTTAGAGCTTAAACAAATAACAACTTGAGTACTACCTCCAAGTCTAGCTCATTATAGAGGCACCACACATAATAATTTCTTCAAAACAGTATTCTTTTTTGTTCTTTGTAAAAAGAAGATTTAACTTTTCTATCCTTAACTTTTGTATCAACTAAATCAAGAGTTTATTAGTAGTCTAACTCTCTATTCCCTATGCTGTTGGATTTACATCATTTTTATGAAGTATATTTCTCAGAGAATAAATATAATGTAGTAAATAATGAGCTTTTTTTAAAGTAATATTGAAAATTGAAATCATACCCACTGATACTTCTTGCATCAGTTAAACGTGGTTTCTTCATTTGTTAAATATCATCGCAATGCATCAAAAGAGTATGTCACTTCATTGGTGAAATATGGTCACATTGTGTTAAAAGGTCATACTTTAAATCATGCCTTTCATAGTAAATATTTGTTACTATTTCGTAAATAGTTTATAAAAACGAAAAATAAACCGGTAAGCGTAGCTCAACTGGTAGCAAGGGAGTGACACAAGGGTTAGGGTCCGAACTCGAATCCCGACAATTATGCATAGAACCTTCTAAGTATTGGAGAAAGAGCATCACTCTCTATCTGTCGGATTAAGAGTATAGTCCAATTTACATCCTCTCAATGTATCGGATCGGGGTCGGGGGCCTCAAGAATGGGTGTTATCTTTTTTTTTAAACTGAAAATAAAGAAAACTTGATAAGTAAAGTTGATAACAATGATTTGATTGAAGGTGTAAATGTAATTTTTTTTCACAGTGGTGGCCTGAGTAATTTTTTGTACCCTAAAAATGCAGCTTGAGGATGGTTGCCAGCTAACGACGGTAGACGAGATAGCTGACGCTGTTCACGAACTGCTTGCCAGAATCCAAGAGGAAGCTGCAGCTTAATTAGCTTAATTGCACTAGCCACCAGCATATAAGGCGGCCAAGTTAACTAAGATTTTAGTAATTAGTTAATTTTCGTTTTACCCATAATCTTAATTAACTTAGCCCCCCACCCCACCCCACCCCACCCCCCATGTATCATCTCCCTAGCTACTATGTCAGCAGGCCAGGCCATCTCGATCGCTGTAATTTTTTTTTTTTTTTTTTACCTCTCATTAGGTTATCGATGATGGACATGTAACATTCCACTAGCTTTTAAAAATTGACCTGATGACGAATCCTTGTGATCTGTGCCTTGCTGACACTCATTAACTCTCAAGATTCTTTTTATTTTCCTGTTTTAAGCTCCATCTTTCTGTATATCCCCCATTCTGTTCAATACTACGTATTAATTACTTATTTTTGCCAATTTGAGGAGCACAATATTTAATTTTCGGATGTATACGAGGTAATATTCTTCGACTATTAAATGTTCCAATGCAACGAACTAATAATAATATGATTCGTTTCCTAGGACGACTGAAGTTTATAAAATTGAATACATTTGAATCTCATAAGATTGGTGAGAAAATGTCATAAGATTGGTAAAAAAAATGTAATCTAGTAATATCAAACTCGTTAGAGATTTACTATTATTCAAGGAATAAAAACCATGAATTCTATTTTGAAATTTCAAAACTTTTTTACTCATATTATAAAAGAGAAGTACAAATGTAGACCGTATGCCTCATAGATAAAACTCATAATTATGTTGGGATAAAAAGACTAAAACAATTGAGAGCATAAATGTACGTCTTAGTGGTGTGTTTCAATCTCTTGTCATGTACTAGTATATGTGAAAGCTATAGCAGTATATATAGCACCAAAATGGGAAATTAGATCTCACTAATTGCAGTTACCAAGTCGATTTAGTTTTGGCGGGTTGCTGGTGACAATATTCTGTTCCGCTAGTGAAAACCTAAGATCCAAAACAGTACAATATGGTATTGTAATTGGTAAAGGGAAGATGCTTAGACCGCACAATATCCAACGTTTTACCATCATAAAATAATACGGAGTATAATGACGAAATCTAACGTTTTAAAGTAAGAGAACAATGTGAACAACCGAAGATTCACAAATTGATGAACACAAGCTTCTCCAATTTTTAATGGCTCAATCTACTAAAATTAATGGACAGCTAAATTATAAAAAAAATTAAATTTAAAATATTTTATCGATGAAATCAAGGATAAATTATACTCAACATGAAAAATAGGTAAAACGATCATTTATAGTAACTTCGGACAATTCAATCATAAAATTAATTTCAACCTCACATATTTTGGTTATTACAAAATTTCACGCATAAAATAAAAAATTATGTTAGAATCCCACTCCAGAAAAGTTTGAATCAACAAAGTGCTATAATAAGACATGCGTTACTCCTCCTATCAGGTTGACCTTTTAGGATGGAACCTCATGTCTTAATATGGTATCAGAGCCAAACGGAATAATAACCATGGTGTGGGCCCCTTTATGACAAATGATGACACGATTAAAAAATGACAATGACGAACCGACGAAAAAATGACTGACGACAGGATCCAGACGAAGTGTCTGGTTGTGAGGAGGGGTGTTAGAATCCTACTCCAGAAAAGTTTGAATCAATAAAGTGTTATAATAAGACATGAGCTACTCCTCATATCTGGTTGACCTTTTAGGATGGAACTCGTGTCTTAATAAATTATGAGCCCCTTTGGTGCCCTTTTTTCGGCTTATCAAGCTTATCAGCCAGTTTTTCACCAAACACTTAACTTTTGATTTCGCGTGCTGAATTGTGTAATAATAAGAAAAAGTAAGGTTGGAGTTACTTTTCTAGCCGTATTGGCTGAAGTTAATGTAGAGGATCATTTTAGCTATTTTTCATATAATGTTTTATATTATTTATTAATAACAACTATTTTAAATATAATTTTTTCCTAAATGAGCAGAATCAGCCAATATAGCCACTGAAGTCAGAACTTAATAAACTTCAGCACAATCAGCCAATTCAGCCAATTTCAGTGTTACCAAACGGGTTTGATGGAGTATTAACTCCTAGAGAGAAGTGAGAGCTAGAGAGAGAAGTGCTATAAATGTTTGATATTAATGATTTGTGAACCCTTTACATGACTCCCATAGGGAGTATTTATAGGAGAAAAGTGGGTTGGGCACCCAAGTCTTGGGTTTGGGAGGTCCATTACAATATAGAGCCTCTATTGGGCTGATTACATTAGAAGTCTAGTTCTAAGAGTTCCTTCTGGCCGACGGAGATGCTCGGCCGACGGAGGCATGGTCGATGAAGACGCTCGGCCGACGGAGACCTGGCCGACGGAGCCATGGCCGACGGGGGCACTGGCCGACGGGGGCACTGGGCGACGGAGGACAAGTCTTCTCTCCTTGGCTTCTAGAGCATATTCCGGGTTTACTCTTCTTCGACCGATGGGGTGCCATCTGGCCGATGGAGGGCCAACTGGATGACAGTTGTGCTCCTCTTAGTCTTCTGAGTATGTGGGTCACGGGGTCTGGACCCATATACTCCATCAGGAGTCCCCAACTTTCTGAGCTGAGATGCAGACGAAGTGAAAGGGAGTAGATCCTTGATGTTCCGACGCTTTGCCCGATGGAGGATTACCTGGGAGTTCTAGTGTTCCTGGCTGAGGCGGTGCCATAATTGTTGGTCGCCTTGTCCTTCATTTCGAGGACGATGAATGCCCTTCATCTCGAGGACGATGAGTGGCCTTCATTTCGAGGACGATGAATGTCCTTCATTTCGAGAACGATGAGTGCCCTTCATTTCGAGGACGATGAATGTCCATTTCGAGGACGATGAGTGCCCTTCATTTCGAGGACGATGAATGTCCATCATTTCAAGGACTATGAGTGCCCTTCATTTCGGGACGATGAGTGTCCAATCGCTATAACAGTACCTCGGCATTAGGAGTCGGTCTCGGGATATGAGGACGACGACACTAAGGGGCCGGTCCGAAATCCATGCAACGGTCGCCATCCGGTAAAGGAATGGCTAAGACCGGTCTTTGAGATACAGGATCATGCGAAGGTCGAGGGGCCGTTCGTGACCTAGGGACAACAACAGTGATGAAACCGGTCGTCCGATAGAGGCGATGGTCACCATCCAGGAAGGGATGGCGAGCCCAGTCATTATAACAATATTTTGGTGTTGTGAGCCGGTCTTGATGATGGATAATCACATCGAGGCCGGGGCCGTTCGTGACGTATGGACGGCGATGATGAGTCGGTCCAATGAATGATGACGGGGCATCGATGAAGTCGATCGTCACATAAGGTCAGGACTCTCGGCGATGAGGAAGCCGGCCTTGAAATAAATAATCACGTCGAGGCTGAGGGACCGGGCGTGATTTGAGGATGACAACGATGATGAAGCCGCTCGTCACATGAAGGCGAGGGTCGCCATCCAGGAAGGGAATGGCGAGCCTGTGCGCTAGCTCAAGACCCTCGGCATTGGGAAGGCCGGTCTTGAGATGAAGGACAAGGCGTTGGACGCCTGTCCAAAGTTGAGGACGATGACGCTGATGAAGCGCGTCCTTGGATGATGACGGCGCTGATGGGGCCGTTCATGACATGGAGGCGAGGGTCGCCATCCAGGAAGGGAGTGGCAAACCCGCTCGCTAACCTAAGATGCTCGACATTGAGGAGGCCGGTCTTGAGATGAAAGGACAAGGCATTGGACGCCGGTCCAAAGTTGATGACGATGACGCTGATGAAGCCGTTCGTCGTAAGGTGAGGGACAGCGTCTGGTGAAGCCGTTCGTCCCATGAAGGACCAGGCTTTCACCCTGTTTCGAAGATGAGGGGCGGCATTGGACTCACACCCCTCGATGACGATGGCGTTGATAAAGCCATACGTCAGATGAAAGACTAGGCTTTGACCCTAGTTCGAAGATGGACGTCGTCGGGGACGTTCGTCCTTTGATGACGAAGGCGTTGATGACGCCGTACGTCATATGAAGGACCGGGCTTTTACCCTAGTTTGAAAATGAAGGGCGGCGTTGGACGCACGTCCCTTGGTGACGACGGCGCAGGTGAAGCCGTTTGTCATATGAGAGACGACGTTGGATGCACGTCCTTTGAAGATGACGACGTTGATGAAGCCGTTCATCATATGAAAGACAACGTTGGATGCACGTCTTTTGATGACGACGACGTTGATGAAGCCGTTCGTCATATGAAGGACCAGGCTTTGACACCAGTCCGAAGATGAGGACGACACTGATGAACCGTCTGAAAATGAAGGACGGCGTTGGACGCTCATTTGATGATGAGGACGGCACTGATGAGCCATCTGAAATTGAAGGACGGCGTTGGACGCTCGTCTGATGATGAGGACGACACTGATGAGCCTTCTGAATATGAAGGATGGCGTTGGACGCTCGTCTGAAGATGAGGGACGGTGCTGGGCGCTCGTCTGATCCGCATGTACGGTCTTGCTTCGTCCATAATGCATAGTTTTTGCCTGATATGTACTTAGCCAGATATGTGGCTTGATTTGTGGGGATTTTATTTTTATCGCTCGAGGCCGGCGAGTGCGCGGTCCTCAGCTTCCCTCTTTGGATTTGTGGGGATTTCGCTCGAGGTCGGCGAGTGCTCGGTCCTCGGCTGTCCCTCTTTTGATTTGTGGGGATTTCGCTCGAAGCCGGCGGGTCCACGGTCCTCGACTGTCCCTCTTTTTTCACTTCTCTTTACTTCTTTGAGCGAGGAGTGGGATCCTTCTTTCACGCTTCATCCGAGGGGGTTGTTATTCCCTTGGCTGGTAGGGAGTCCAAGAGGGTAGTCAGTCTTCTGGCGCAGTCTCGTCCCTTGATCTTGGGGGGGTCCCGTCGTCTATTTACGGTGCGGGCTCAGGCTTTTGGTGGGTTGCTGACGGATGCCGTTTCCCAACCCCAAGTTTGGGGATTTTGTCACCTCAGCCATGATTTGAGACCTGTCGTCCTGCGATTTAGCGCGAGGACGACGCGGTGAGCTTCCTGTTTCAAGACGTAGGCCATTTGTGGGCCCCTCGTCCTGGGACATCGTCAGCCATGCCTGAGCGTCTCGCTCTAAGGGGCCGAGATGATGTGTTGTGTTGTGTGGCATCCTTTACTTAAATTTACAAAAATAAGCGGATCACAACTTTTATTGATAAGTGGCTCAAGGCCGAGGGTGGTAATCAATCAATAACCCGTTAAGGGGTGAGGGCTTTGCCGGCTGCGCCTCCTCCGGATTATTGATAGAACTTCACCAAGATGTAGGGCCCTTAGTATCTCGAGGGCTAAGCCGTCCGTCGGTCGTGCGTTTCCTCGAAGTCCTCGTCATCGCTGAGCCTCCCAATTTCTTGCTTCTTCATCGAGGTGTCCC